AATGGGCGTAGAAAGTGGACGGGTACGAGCTCACAGAAGCCTGTCAGCATAAAAGTTACAGTAAAGTGAGTAACAGGTTCTATGGATAAGGATGAGCAGCAGTGCATTGTGATACTGACCCTTTTGCAGCGCCAAAAATTGCTGTTCAATGCCGCGCATAAAGCGATAGTTGACATAAAGCTTGACATACTCGCGTTTGTTCTCCTCGGTGACAGCTATTGATGCGCCGCCGGGCTTTAGCTCATGCACCACCAGAGCTCCAAAGCTATTGTTCTCCACGCTAAATGTGGACTCAATAATCCCGCTGATGTTGCTCTCTCTGCAGGATAAACATTCATTTAATGACTGCAAGCTAAATGGCGTAGATTAAGTTTACTTACAGCATCCAGGTGAGGCTGCGATGCAGCTCGGGATCCACGCCTTCGATATCTCCCAGTGTGATGGGCTTGTTTAACAGTTGCTTGTAGAAGGGAGTCGTGAATCCGCCGTCAAGACAGTGGCCATGGAAAACGGCAATGCCCAAAGTGCGGCCCACGAAATGGAAGTAGGAAAGGTGATCGGGATTGACGCTCGAATCGGGATTTATTTGCAGCGTGTAATGATCGTCGCGACTGTACTGGAATAGGCCGTACTGTGGGTTGAGCATCTCGCGGGATAGCAGGTGCAGCCATTCGCGTGCCACACCACCATAATCCAAGCCCTCTTCACCCTTGAACTTGACCATGAGCCGCTTGCGCATGTCCTTAGCGCGCATCTTCATAATCAGTCTGTAGCTCTCCTCGAATATCTCGCTGCGCGAAACCTCCAGCCGACAGTGGCCCGACTGCGGCTGTAACGCCTGCAGTTCCGAGCGCAGTGCCCGCATTTTGCCAACCAAATCACGTCGATACTTTGGCAGCAGGTCGGCGCCCTCAAGCAGCCCTTGCGGCAGATCCGGCACCACAATATGCTGGGCAGCCCGGCGATGCGGCGTTGTTGCGTTGCCAGCGGCATTGGGCGTCGCAGGTGGCGGTGCTGCCGAAGCTGGCGCCGCTGTTGGTGCTGCTGGGACAGCTGCTGTATTTGGTGTCGCTGGGGACGCACTTCCACTGCCACTGCATATCCTTTGTAGTATGCTGCCGCTTAGCCGCGGATCCGTGAACTGTGTGGTGCGGTTATTATGATCTACGAAGTAAACACGTCCTGAGGCCGTTTTGCGCTGCTCCCAGCCGCTTGGGAGTGCCCCAATCTCGTCCAGCGTCAGATGCTGCGTATCAAGGTCGCGTGGTATGCGCGGATCATGCCATGTGGAAACGCCCGTGAGTATGTGATAGAAATATACCTGGCCCTGCTGTGTCGTGCGCATTTCATAGCCCGGTGGCAGATCCAAAAACGGACGCGCCGCCTGATTTGCCGCTGCTATCGCCGCTGACCCGTAACGCACTCCACCACCACTAATGGCCGCGCCACTTGCGCCTCCTGCAGCATTCCGTGTGCCACGAGATGAGCGCCGACGCGCCGCTGCCTCCTCGACAGCCTGACGCGAGCTGCGCCGTTGGGAACGTTGCGCGGGCGTCACAGTTGCGGGCGTGCGTTCCGATCTGCCCGCCGGCTGACCATTCGTATTGGGACTGTGCACATTGCCGTTACCGTTGCTGCTGCTGTTACTGTTGGCTGTGGGCGTGGCAGGCGTTGAAGGTGTTGTCGTTGTCGCAGTCGTTGGACTCTGCCTTGGCGGCGTTGTGGCAGGTGTCGTTGTCGTTGTCGTGGTCGTGCCATCCTCTGCTGACCAGCCATTGTTCGCATGCTGAGCCTGCGCTGATTGGACGTTCTGTACATTCCCATTCACATAGTTCTGCTGGCCGGTGGGCGAAGTTGGCGTCGCGTCGCCGGGCGCATGCCCATTCATTGCTGTGGGTGTTTGGTGCTTTGGCGTTTTCACATGATTGTCGTTGTTGCTGCTGTGCAAGCGACCAGTCGCCGTCGTCGTTGTTGTCGTGTTGCTGCCGCTGCCGCTGCCACTGCTGTTGTTACTGCTGCTGCTATTGTTCGGCGTTGACGGCTCTAGCGCTGCATTTCCTGCTCGGCTGGACGTTGACTTTTTGCCCGGCGTGCTGGTTGTCGTCGCTCCCGTTGTCCCCGAACTGGGACTGGTGTTTTCCTTGCCACCTGCCACGCCCACTCCTGCGCTGGAGAGTATTTCCGTTGAATGACGCCGCTCGTCGGGTGCCTCACGCGCCACATGTCGATTGCTATGACCGTTAAGCAGATTCGTGCAAGTTGTGGAACGTGTGGGACCTGCCGGAGGTTGTCTGTCAACATTGTTGCCATTGTGCTGGCGCTGCTGCGGCGACTTTGTCCCCGCTGGCGTCGCCGCGACTCTGGGTCTATCCCATTGCGTCGATTTGGTTGCATGATTTACGTAGTATATGCGCCCGTTGTCCGTGCGTCGCTCCTCCCAGCCCTCAGGTAGACTGTCCACGGAGGAGTCTTCCTCTGAGGGGCCACGCACATCGCCACTGGGTCCCACAATGGCCAGCGGGTTGCCGCTACAGGGTCCATCTTTGGGCAGCAGCGAGATGATAATCTGACCGCGTACCAACTCATCGTCGTCTGGCGAAAGTTTGCCGAGATCCAGGCGTTGAACTGGCCAAGCAAAATGAATGTGATATGTTAGTAGAGTTCCGATTGGAATGTGTGGAATTACTTACATCCTGTGCCCTTCAAGCTTTGTATGGTCACAGCGGGAATGCGCACGCAGCCAAGAAAGCCGCTGCCTTTGTGTATCTTTCGCTGGTTCCAAACGGTTATTGTTATTGAATCACCACGTCCCAAAAAAAGATCGTAGTGCGCATTCCATTTGGGATCCAGTGAAGATTTGCTTATCTCTGTCGAATAGACTTGACCGGTGCCATCCACCTGAACTTTCGCAAACGGATCGGGCAAGCCTGGAATATGCAAATTATAATAATTGGGTTAATAATATAATTCAGACAATTACTAATTTTTATAAAAATGGGTTGCATGCTCAAATTTAACTACCTATAACGGCTAGACCTGAAAAGCTGGAATTTAGTTTCAGTTTCATTCCAACTCTCAACTTCATATTACACATTCTTCCTTATGTGTAGTTGGATCCAAAATTAGCATAATCTTAAAACATTGCCTGTCAATTACGTTAGACCTATTAAAATGTTCCGATTGCTGTTGCTGTTCTGGTTGCTAGTGCACTCAGTGCTACCCGCCTGCTTTTATCTACCTCATCCACGTCCTGGATTTCCTGATCGCTTCGATATTGAACCGAGGCAGTTGCCCACAAGCTGCATGGATCAACATCAGCGGGAAATTGCAACAACAACATCACCGCCGACAACAACAAGTGATACAATAGCAACAAACAGCTACGTCTAGGTTATCACGACGACCAGCTAATCATTAAGAAAAGCAAATTCCCCTCGATGACAGCGATTGTGAGTCCCCTCTCTCACTAGATTACTTGTCTTCCGGCGGAGGGTAATCACAGAGGCTGACCCATATATAAACGGCCCCATTGACGCAGCCACCAATCACAACTGTAATGGCTTCCATTCGCTTCAGCACCTTTATCGCTTGGCTGTTCCTGGCGCTGATGGCTCTGTGCGCTGTCTCGACGATGGCTGCGCCTTTTGACGAGCGCCGCGGGAATCGACGATCCCGGCCAGTCCATTCGTACCCTAACTTCCCCGGCACGCCGCCTTTCAATCCACATGGCTAAGCAACACAAACGAGTCATCCATTCAATTAGTCTCGTTTTTATTAAAATAATGCATAGTTGACCAAAGAGGGCAACAAGTTTCAATTAAATCTCAACGACGTACAAATAATTGTTTTTACTACTGACCCAAAACGCGAACGGGGCCAAGTGCGATGGGACCAATCTCATGCCAGCGTGTACTTTGGCATAAATTCTGACCGCTTCACAGTCGGATGTTACTGATAAGATTACATAGCCATACACTGAATCTCGAAATGTGTATTAAGCGCTTAGTATTCTTTTCAGCATGGACAATTAGGAACAGCTGAATGTAATCCATAGTACATTGGCTATGAAGGCCATTGGAATTATACGATATACGCAAGTTTTCTGTCCTGCTAAGCGACATGGACATTGCAAATTGCATGTACTTCTTGCATCTGTATATGTAGCCGTATCTGTACCTGTGCATCTGTATTTGTATCTTCACCTGTACCTGCACACGTATCTATCTGTGTGTTGGTAATTTGAACTGTGGACGACAATGGCAGCAGCAGCTGTTGATTGATTTTATGCTCCAAAGAACACAAAAGCAAAACGGCAAAAAGTAAAAGGAAATAGCGGCAAGAAAGATCACAACGCAGACAGTCGACTAGAAAATGCTCTGAAAAAACGAACTTAGATTGAGATATATTTATAGCCAGGATTGAAACCCAACAAAAGTGATGGGCGCTTAGGTTCACGGTTTGAGCCAGTCTACTCGTAAGGTTTTCGACATTTAAAGTTCGGTTTATGGTTAACAATTGAAATTCCGGGCTTAATCCGGTTCGGCTCAAAACTTGCAACATTGATTTATAAGCTTACTTGAAAGTTAAAAAAGAACTGACATATTCTGATCTCCCAATGCATAATAATTCGTCATATACTAAACAAGCCCTGAGTCCTTCACAAGCACATATTAATTGCTATTCAATGAATAAGTCTTGGTATCAAAATTAAAGAGATACCCTATATGCTTATTTGGGCTCATTTCACGGACGAAGTGCACAATATTGCAGCGACATCCGAGGAGCATCGACTGATTAGCGACGAGCCGACTGGCACTGGCTGTCGACCACATGTCGTTCAACCCCATTTAGCTTTACGCTACATGGCACAATTTCGGCGCTCGGTCGGCGGCGCACGTCGGAATAGTTAGTAGGAAATTAACGATTGGCTGCACTTTCACTTCGCAAGTCGGCAACGGCAACGGCAACTGCTGGCGACGCCAGGTTAAATCGGTGTTGCATGAAGTTGAGCGGCATACAAAAGGTTTTGCGCCACTGTTTTTATTGCAAATAAACATCATTAACACTTATGAGGACGGTTTGCCGGAGGCAGCGGCGACGGCGGCTGCCGCCTTGTCGCATGCCGCACGCTCTCGCATGCGCTCCTCGATAAGTGGTCGGAAATGGCGAATGAGTCCCTGTGGCGGCCAGGCAGCGCCGTCGCCCAGAGCACATATGGTGTGCCCCTCGATTTGTTTGGTTATCTCCCAGAGCATGTCGATCTCGCTGGGCTGCGCCTGGCCGGTAACAAAGCGCTGCATGATGAGGTGCACCCAGTGCAGGCCCTCGCGACAGGGCGTGCATTGGCCGCAGCTCTCATGTTTGTAGAAGGCCGAGAGACGTGCAATGGCCTTAATAATGTCCGTCTTCTTGCTCATCACAATGATGGCGCCGGTGCCCATGGAGGAGCGAACGGCCATCAGACCGTCGTAGTCGTGTATGGCCTTCGATGCGTCTTCCTTGGGAATACAGGGCGTTGAAGAGCCGCCGGGTATAATGGCAAGCAAATCTTCCCAGCCGCCCGATACACCGCCCGCATGTCGTTCTATGATCTCGCGTGTGGGCATCGACATTTCTTCTTCCACTGTGCAGGGCCGCTCCACGTGTCCCGAGATGTTAAACAGCTTGGTGCCCGAGTTGCGAGTGCGTCCAAAGCTGGCGAACCATTTGCCGCCGCGCCTGCAAATCGTGGGCGTAACAGCCACCGTCTCCACGTTGGTAACTGTCGATGGGCAGCCAAAGACACCAATGTCCGCCGGAAAGGGCGGCTTGCTACGTGGCTTGCCAGCCTTGCCCTCCAGGGACTCGATAAGCGAGGTCTCCTCACCACACACATAGGCTCCAGCGCCGCGCTGCACGTAGAGGTCGTAATCAAAGCCAGATCCACAGGCGTTCTTGCCCAGAAACCCAGCCTTGTAGGCCTCAACAATGGCGTACTGTAGATTGCAAGTCTCATTGAAGAACTCGCCGCGCACATAGATATACCCTGTATTGGCACCCATGGCGCAGCCAGCCACAAGACATCCCTCCACTAGCTTATGCGGATCATGGCGCAGTATTTCTCGATCCTTGCAAGTGCCTGGCTCGCCCTCATCGCCATTTACGACCAGAAACTTGGGTCGCCCGTCGGGTGGCTTGTTCATAAAGGAATACTTGAGACCGGTGGGAAAACCTGCCCCTCCTCGTCCACGCAACCCGGACGTTTTAAGCTCATTGATGATCCAGGGTGAACCCTTCTCGATTATTTCTTTGGTCTTGTACCAGTCGCCCCGTTTCATGGCCGCCTTTAGGCGCCAGTCGTGACGACCGTACAGATTCGTGAAAATTCGGTCCGCATCTTGCAGTGGACCAAAAGTGGTTTTGGTTTGGGGTGGCGGTGTGCCCGGGGGAGGACCCTTAGGCGCCCCCTTAGGGGGAGGCGGTGGACCTGGTGGCTTAGCATTTGCAGGACCTGGTGGCGTTTTAGCCGCAGGCGGAGGCTTAGTTCCACTTGACCCAGGTGGTGGTCCTGGTGGTTTTGATTTTCCAGTATCAAAAGCTAAGCCACCAGAAGGCTTCTTCTTTTCGGTAACTCCTGATACCAGCACGGGATTAATGTTATATGACTTAGTTAGGTCTGAACTAGAAGTAGTCTGTCCGAATGTGGAAAAGCATTTTTTAGATACTGTTGGGGGTGCAGGTGCAGGTCCGGAGAGCTTATCTCCTTCTGGTTTTTTCTTGTCGGCTTTGGTTTTACAGCTTCTCTTATCTTCTTCGTTCTTTGATTCCGATTTCCGATTCTTTTGGGCAACGCGCAGAGATTGATCCGAGGTGGGCAATTGTTTGGTTTTAGCAGCTTCTTTCTTGGCTTCTTCCAGCACTTTGGCTACTTCGCTATCTTCGGTTTCAGCTAATCGCTCGTTTACAGGAAATTTCTTTGGGTCGTGCTCAGCAGTTAATATTGGAAAGCTCGTTAGCTCTTTTAATTTAACTATTGTTTCCTTCTTTTCAACGGTAGCTTGCTTGATTATCCGAACGGCTTCATATTTCTCTATGATTAACGCACGCATCTTGGATTTTCTGTTTTCACCGTGTTCTGCGCTCGACAATGAATCCACGGTAGGCAGCTTTTCCGAACAGTATTTTGAAGTTATGCTATCCTTCTGCTCAGACGACTCATCTGGCTTCTTTTGAAGCGGATCGTTTGGTTTGCGTTTTTTCTTCTTTCCCGTATCAGAAGTATGCTTACTGGCATCGTCCTTACAACTGTCGTCGCCCTTGGTAGACATTGTCATGATTTGCGTCATCTTTGCGGGAAGCATTATCACGGATATGTTGCCCAATGGTGCACCTTTACGATGATCGGCCGGGTATCCGAACAATGCCGAAGCTAGGCTCACGGCTCTACCATCGTTGACCTTTTTGCGTATTGCTGCCAGTTCCACTTCTTGTTGCGGATCCTTCAATTTATCGTGCCCATAGATGTCGTTGCCAGACGCTGTTTTGACATTCGTCAGTGTAAGTCGCAAATATGGTAATGCAAAAGGTTTCTTGCAACCAGCGAGAAATTGCTTACGCAACAGCAACGCAATCATTGTCGTTCTATTTCTTCTTTATGCCAACGTTTCAATTCAAATTGTTTTATTTTTATTACACTTTTTACTTGTGATAAGAAAAGCAGGAGTCTACTAAATGAAATATATATATATATATATGCACACATGAATGCTTTATAGTTTATGAGCTCTAACTTCTTTTGTTCTAATTTGATAGATTTTGAAAAGTTCGAGGGAATCACTTCGGCTTTAATAAAGCGATTGAATGTTTGCTATGGGTACTTGATACAGGAGGATTGGTGTTTTAATACAACTCAATTATAACAGCAAGTTGTCAAAAGTGTTTTGCGTTGTGCCTTATAAACGGAAGAGATACTTAGTCATAACATATGTTACCCCCATAAATCCCTTGCCTATAATATCTATTAATATCTCTCCGCAAATTGAGTCAAACGCTTGCAGATAGTGTCCAAGTCCTACGTAAGACCCTAAAACACACATTTTCACCCAGTTTGTGACTGCGGTTTTTCCCAACGCTCATAGTGTTTTGCCCGTATATTGCACGAATCTAATCAGTCCAACGATAAACAAAAGCGGCCAACTTTTTTGCGTTCACACTTATTTGCATGGGCATAAAAACATTTACCGATCAAAACAAATGTAAGCCAAGTGCCTCGCCAGACACTTGATCTGGTGGATCTGTAACAGACTGTGCTGTGAGATTTCCATGGAAAGATGGCATCATGTACACCATGCCAGTCGGGCATTCAGTCAGTCGAACGCGAGTTGGCATGCCGCTGTTAATTACACATTAGCATTAATGTGCCATTTCGTATGGCATAGAAATCCACACCGAAAGCAACTCCTTCTTCGGATTCTCTCACGAACAGCTGTCGAATTTATTGGAATGCGTCGCCTGCCAGCCGAAAACTAACTAATAAGAAATATATATTTAAAAATAACAAAAAATGGCATTAGGCAATGCGGACAACGGCGACGGTTGACCGCCCCCAGCGTGATTTAAGTGCAACGATGTGTAAAAAATGAATCAGAGAGATATACAGAAAAAACTACAAAACTACAAAATAATAAATAACGCACACGCTCACGCATACATAAACAAATTGGGTTATGCGTGCACGAGTGAGAGAGTGAGTGTGTAAGCCACAATGAAAGTAAATTAGTAATAATTATTTCAGTTATGTATAAACAAATAATTATGGCAAAAGAGATATACGTATGTATAACTAGGCGGCGGCATGGCAACCGTAATTTGTGCGCACGGGGATAGATTCAGGCAGTCGCTGCCACTGACCCCCCCCCCCCCCCCCTCTCACAGTGCCACCATAATTTCTATAAAAATGAAAGTAGACAAAAGGAAATGCTAAATTTAGCAACAACTACGCGTCACGTAGCACCTTATACTCGACAAGGCAATACAACAAAAACAGTTGCGGCAACAATTGTTATAATGTTTGTTTTGATTCGTGAAAAATGAGCAATCAATTTACATACTTATTAGTTTCTCAAACAAATTCCTAACATTTTCTAATCAAATTTTTTCGAATATTGCATTTAAGTTTGCGAATTCTGAATACTTACGAAACAAATCCTTGCGCGCCAAATTTCTTGCACACAACACTGTAAAAGAGAAGCGTAATAATTAATAAACAATATCAAAAATAATTAATTTAGTTATTGGCTTTACTTACGCGTTATTCGAATCTTGTGTGTACCATTGCGACGTGGGTAATCCAGTTTATTCATAATTTCAGACTTTTAATTATTGGTTATTTGTAATTGCAATTGAATTTACATAAGTATATAAAAATATAGTTGTTATTTCTTTATAAAACAATTGGTCTGTCGGACAATTGTGTTGATCATTTTTGGGCCTTAAATGTTGCTGTTGTTGCTGTTGTTGTTGCTGGCAGCATGAACAAATTGAAGCGAAGTAGAAGCAGGAGGTAGAAAATTAGCAAAAAATTATCTCAATTTTTGTTGTTGTTGCTGGTATGGTTGTTGTTGCCGCAGCAGCTGCTGCCGCTCTTGTTGTAGCCTTGAGTTTTGCTGCTGCTGCTGTTGCTGTTGTTGTTGCAGATGCAGTTGTGTGTCATTGTTTGCACAGAAAAATATGTATAAGTCATGTGTTGTTTGTTGGCGCTGCGAATGCAAACTGCAATAGAAGAGCGACAAAACTGATTATTTATGAGTTTCGTAATTGAATTTATACGAATTGTTTTATTAACACACACATTTTGATAACTAAAACGTTCGTTCGTTCGTTAAGATAAGCACTTGCATTTGTGTGGGTGGTTATCTGAGCTCTAAAACTGAATGAAGTGCCCAAGTATTAGTATTTGGAGTGTGTGTGTCATCGTAGCGAGCAGGGCGTGCAAACTCTGCCGGCGAACAGAACACAAGACACGACAAAAAACGGGAAACGGGGAAAAATCGGCTTTGGCAGGTAGCTCACAACTCACCCTAAACTGTTTTGCCTCTGTTGTTGTTGTTGCTGGTTTGTTGATGCTGCTCTGCTGCCTTAAAACCATTTCACACGCACATGTTACACACAAACACACTGACACACACACACACACACACGAACACGGTGCACAGTCGTTGCAGGCAGCGTGCAGACAATTTACGAGAACTGGGTTTTATTATTTCATAAATTGTATTAAATAATGCACGTACTACGAATGTTGGTATATATATACAATATGCATATGTATATATTTCAACAGTCGCTTAATTAACTTTAATTTTTTTTCCTGCGTTTGTATGGGTGCATACTATTTTGCTAGCATCTGTGTGTGTCTGCCACAGAATTTGCAATATTGTAAACGCCCTGCCCGCCACACACTTGTAAGTTATTATAAAATTTGTATACATGCACATATTTTATATATGTATATATTATATACATGTAGCTTTTAACCGCGCACTACGTATTTAAAAGCAACAAAAATATTCTTTCGTTTTTTTACGCACTGCTCTCGTTTTTATACTTACAGAGAGACGGCGAGAGAGCAAATGATATATGAACAACGACGACTAAATGCGGATGAAGCACTTTAGCTGCATGCACCGCTGGATTTTGCAAATTTTTTTTTTTTTTTTAATTTGTTAGTAAAACTACATTATTTGGCGAGAATTTAGCTGCTCGGCCCACGCTTTAATTGTTGATAACTATATAATTTTAATATCGCGCAGAAATCAGTTCTTGCTCAACGAGAAACGCCATTTTATGGTTCGTCCCAACACTTAGTGTTGTAAAGCGCGTTTACCACACTGCTAACCATTTATTATTTAACTTACGCTATACAGCACTAAATTGTTTGGCGGTGTTTGGGATTTACTGTTTTCGCTACTTTTATTGTCAGTTTTTTTTCGTTTTTGCTGAAAATAATGTCAATATCCCTTGATTTCGATGCTAAGCAATTGGCCAGCAAAAGACCATTGCAGCTGCACTCCTTACCAGCCAAAATCGATGGCGACGGCGAGTGTGCAAATGTGGATACCTATTTTAACAATTACACGCGCGAAGCTTCAGAATACGGCTCTGGCGTGCTGATAAATGCGCTCAGGGGTTATCCTCTTTTGGGAAAGCGAGAGCCAGTGCCCGACGGATATAAAGGCGTTGTTTTACAAGAAACGGACCCACATCAGGAACAACGCCAACTTCGTCTCACCGGCACTTTTCAGGATTTTACTTACTGGAATTATGACAAAGTGCCGTCAAAGGGCGACGGATACCAGCAGGCACTAATAACGCTGGAAGTGGCCCACGCAGTAAGTTTTAAAGACATTACAAAAAGCAAGTTGTATTACTTTAAAAATCTTCTAGCTAGCTAATCCCGTGAGCGAAGAGGAGCTTGAAGATGAGATGAAACGATTCCAGCAAGCCAAGAAAGAAAACGCTTTGTAGTTGGTGCGCTTACAGCGTTTAGTATATAGTATTCCAAAAGCTAATCAGATATTTTCACAATTCATACACTTTAGACTTACAATTTGTATAAAAGATTCAAATATAAATACGTATGTTTATGGATGTTATGGTTATGTGGAGTAGTTTGTTCACTTTTCTGCAGCCTTATTCATCCGCATCCTCGAATCGATCGTCATCATCGTCCAGGCTAAGATTCTGCATGCCACCAACCTCGCCGCCGTTTCGACCAAGCGTAAGTGCATCGTCTACCATCTCTTGGTCATCAAAGGCCATGCCAACTCCGCCAGCATCCTCCATTGGATCGCTATCTTCCGAGTTGCTGTCTGCCGAATCTGGGTGCAATGCCTGGCAAGTAGTCATCGCATTGTACATGGTATCCACAGTGTGTATATCATCGGGCAATAGCCAGCACTCGGTTACTTCATCCAGTTGCTGATCGACGGCATCCTCAAAGTTATCATCGTCTTCGTCGTCTTGGTCGTGCTCATCACTGCCGTTGCCCTCGTCATCGTCGTTATTGGCAACAGCATTTCGATGAGGCTCATCCCCAGCGCCATTCTGGCCATTGACTTCGGGACTTCGGCCCATATAAACGCCTTCCCACTCCACTTTTCGGTCAAGCATAAAATAAATACATTTTCTAGGATTCGACGAAATGCCATGCAGGCTAACTTGTTTCCATTCGATCGATATCCCTTCAGCAAGATCTGCCGGCTGCCAAGACAGCGTGCTTCATTAAAAACAAAATTAAAAAAAAAAAAAAACAATTACTAAACATTTCGAGCATTGCCGAAAAAGTATGCACTCACTTTTGTGAAATATATATTGTGCCCTGTCCTACTACCTTATCTCCAAGCTTAAGCTTGATATTATTGGCGGTATATAAGAGACCGTTCTCAGGTGGGCTAATAGGCATTATTAATACCATTTTAATAGAAAATTGTGCTAAAAACACACGACAATAAACAGATTTGCAGACCGTCTGGCAGCGGTAAACTCAGTTAGTGTTGGTTAACGTAAAACGTTGCAAAATATTTTAATAGCATAATTGCAATAAATTTAATATTATTGTAATAATTTCTACAAAAACAAAATAAGAAACGTTAAGAAAAAACTCAAAACATGAATCACATGAATATATAAAATATATTTGCAATGAGTATTTTTCTGACGTTTGCTTACACTGTGTACATATTTTA